CCCCCTTCTTCTTTTACATCCCCCCAGGGGACCACTAAAAATTGGTGGTCCTTTATTATGCAAAATCATTTAGCCCCCGGAAGTCTCACTCCTAGCTAATAGAGAAAAGGAGGCCACTTCTGATGCGCAAAGCTGCGGGGTCAACCTTTGCAAACAAAGAACTGAAGCTTTGAAATTAGCTTGCCCTGCGAGTGTCTCACTCCGGGTCCTTAGAGAATCCCTCTCTCCATCACCACCAGTCTGTGCAAACTGCAGAGGGCAGTGGGGCATCTCCTGGGCCAGACACAGCACCCCCCCCCCCCGGGGGTCAGATGACTTGTTCTCCCCCTCACAGAAATGGAGATGATTTACCCCTGGTGGGTCTACCCGCCCTGGCTTACGCTTTTAGAGAAAAGGAGCTTCTCAAGGGAAGAGAGACTTGAACCTTGGGAAATGCCCATATTTAGAGAATGAGGAGAGGAAAAGACACCAGGGACAGGAACAGAAAGAGCTGTTAGAGATGAAGGCCAAGAAATGAAAGGAGGGGAGGAACCGGGCTCTGAGGACTCTGAGCCCAGCTCTGGTTATCTGTTGTTGGAAGATTACTTCGTGTCTCCAAGCTCAGTCCCCATCTGGGGAATTGCACTGATAAAGAGAACTGTCATGCAAGATAGTTTAGAGAATTATGTTTGCAAACTGTTTGGCCCAGGCCCAGCACTTAATGGGCGCTCCATAAATGTTTGTTATTGGTCATTGTGTGGTCAGCGGTGCCCGGGGCCTGGATGCTGACTGGGCAAGGGCCTCATCGTCTGGAGGACTTTGAAAGGAATGCTGGCAAACCCAGGGGCAGCGGGAGAGGAGGCTTTTCCTCTCAGGGCTTCAGTGTCATGTCCCACCCCCCCAACCCCCGCAAAGGAAAGGAAGGAGAGTTGAGTCTAGGGAGCCCTCCCTCCTCCCCCCTCCCCGCTTTGTGGGGGTGTCACCTTCTGGCTCTGGCACCAGTCTCCTCTTCCTTTCCCACCCTGCCCCCAACTCATTTCTCCTCTCATCCACGCTGAACAAACCCTTCCTGGGCTGCTGGAGAGGTATGGGGGTGGCTGGGGGGCCCTTCAAACAGTCCCAGCCCCTCTGCACGGGAGATCCCTGCCTCCCGATTCTTCCTAGGGCAGGGCCAGAGGCAAGTTTAGTGGAGATGCTGGTACTGGATGTTCCTTGCAGACACCCCCTCCAGCCCTTTTCTTCCACATACTATCTCTATTCTGAACATCCCAAACGCAAAATTGAACTTGGGTCTTGTAGAGCCAAAGGGCCTGGCATCTCAGCAGGACAAGCAGGCTGCTCTGGTCCCTTCCGAGCCCCAAGGATGGCCCCTCCCACACTCCACACAACGGGGAGGTGCGGTCTGGGGACAGGGAGAGGTCCCAGGCCTTGGCTTGGTGTTGGTTTCCTTCCCCCAGGCACCACCATCCCGTGCTCTGGCCAACAGACCAAATCTTGTGAGACTGCTAAGAATCCTGGCAATGGTTTCTCACTCGTGAGACTGAGTACTGGCAAGCCAGGGCAAGGAGAAGTGGAAAGAGAAGCCCAGGTCACTGATGTCATTTTCCTCTCCCTGTCCACCATTTCTCTAACATGTCTTTTACTGACCCGGCTACCCACTGTGTTTCTGGAGGAACTTGAGGAAGGTCCAGATGCCCAAAAGTTGCTGGTTCAGATGCGTGTGGCGGGAAGATATTCAAAATGCTTAGCAACCAGTGCAGCATGGGCATAGGCCAGACAGGGTGGGGCATTGGAAGAGGGGTTTTCGAGGTCTCCTGCTGTGCCTGGTGTTATCCCTCCAGCTGCTGGGTCTGGGGGGGCAGGGTCGTCCCAAGGAAGGGAGGCGGGAGGCTCAGACAGCAGCCCTTTGCTTACCAGCATATGCTGACCAGCATAGAAGTACTTCAGTATTTTCACAACAGGTCCATCTAGTGAGTACTGAGCTCGGTGCTGCCTGCAGTGGCCACCACTCCCCGCTCCGCCAGGCCTCTGCCTTCCCTCCTCCTCCCGCAGCCAGTGAGCACTGCCCTTGCATAACCACCTACGCACCCTTTCAGGCTGCCCTGCAAACTGCACAGCTACTGCTCTGGGACTCACAGGGAAAGGCCCAGATCCTCACCTGCGTGAGGATCTACCTGTGTGACCTTGAGCAAGTGCCTTCAGCTTTCCAAGTCTTGTTTTCTCATCTGTGAAATGGGCTACTGCCCGTGCCTTCACCCTGCAGAGTGATGACGTGTCTCGAAGGACTGTGTGCCCGTGGAGGTGCTCTGCAAACCACTTCTCAGAGGTCACTATTTTATTCTGATGACATCTCTATGGAAACACGGAGGAAGACAGAAAATAAAATGAATCCTCTCTCCAAACTTTTTGAGACACAGTCTTGCTTTCATCTCTGAAGGACAGCCGAGTGTTCAGCACAGGACAAAGCCTGCCCCAACCCACCACTTTCGTCACAGGAGGAAGAGTCACCTGAGAACTCAGGACTTATACCACCATCACCACCAATCATGGAGGACTTCCTAAAGGAGGGGGCAGACCAGCTAGACAGAGGGCTTGCCAAGGAGGTCACGAGAAGCAGGAAGAACTGTGCATGGAGGAAAGGGGGCCTTCCGCTCAGCCCACCCACCCCCAGGACCAGCTCAAGAGTTCAAATCCTGGCTCTATCCCACTTTCTTACAGCAAGATCTTGGCAGTTACTAACCTCACTCTCTATTTCTCAGTAGCAGAGTAGGAGAAGGAATAAGTATGGGGTTAAATGAGATAGTGTATATGAAGCACTTGGCCTGGTACCTGGCATACAGCAAGTGTGCAATAACTGAGGATCTTACCTTCCCACCCCAGGCCACCCTGCAAAAGCTGAAGGCAGAAGAATACGTCCAACAGAAGAGGGAGCTCCTGGCCCTCTACAGGGACAGGGACCAGGAGTCTCTGGGCAACAGGCCCTCTACACCTTCCCCAGAGGGCTCTCAGAGCAGTGTGGAGGGGAGGTAAGACCCACCAGCACCGTGAGCTCTCCCACAGTAAGTGGGCTGCAGGCAGGGAGGGAGAGAAGAGGAACCCACAAGGCTGAAATGTGGTACGATAGCACTTGGGGGGATTAGTAGATTGAGGAACCCATGCCACAGGTGGAGAGCAGAGTGGCGCCAGCTGTTCTAGGGGCCTCTGAGACAGCCGAGGTCAGCCCGCCCAGGGTCAGCACCAGCGGAAAGAAAGGCCCGGACTCCCCGAGAGGGGCAGGCTCCTCAGGCTGGGAATGGAGAATGAAGGCCGGTCCAGATTTGCAGACCGTCAGAGCTGCAGGGACCGGCTTAGTCCAAATCCCCAGAGGGTGAGAGGTTCATCCTGAACAGGCAGAGCTGTCCAATAGCATGGTTAAGTAGGGGGAAAACATCCATCAGTGGGAGGGACCTCCGGAGCCCCCTCCGAAAATACCTGAGTGTTTACTGCACACAAAGGCCCAGACCAGGTGGCTGAAATGGCTTACAGGGGCTTACAGTCCGACCAGAGAGATGATAAAAACAGTCAGTGCAGTGTAAAGGTGATGTCAACTTAAGTTTGGAGCAGCCGTTTCTGAATGAGGTGATCAAAGGATACTTCCTGGGCTTGAACTTGACCGCTTAGCACCTGACTCTGACCCTTCATTAATTTGTAGGACTCTTGAGTTCTCTACAGTCATCCCCCATCTGGTGGTGACAGAAGACTCGGATGAAGACAGTCCTGCGGCACCAGATGACACCTCAGACTCTGGCTACAACACTCTGACTCCTGTCTCTTCCAAGGGGTCTCACTCCCCGCTGAGCCGGCTACGGCCGTGGGCCCTTCGGCGGCGCCCTTACCACACCTTCTCCGCCCTGGACCTCCGGGAGGTTACTTGGCGCCCCCAGCCTTCTGACCCCCAAGCTCCCCAGCGCCGAAGCACACCTGCACTGCCAGGGGAGGCTATCCGAAGAGGAAGCAGTCTTCCCCGGGGAGAGCCACCAGCCTGGTCTGAGGAAGATGATGGGACTTCAGTGGGAGGGAACGTGGTCGTGGAAACCTTGCACAGGGCCCAACTTCGTGGGCAGCTCCCACACTCCCCCACCCACGCTGACTCTGCTGGGGAAAGCCCCTGGGCATCCTCAGAGGATGAGGAAGAGGGGCCCCTCTTCCTAGGACACTGCCGGACCCCCTCCCCTCGCCCCCTCAAGGCTGAGGACATGCTCAGAGAGATCCGGGAGGAGCTGGCCAGCCAAAGGATTGAGGGCTTCTCAGAACCTAGGGACAGCAGGCCTCAGAAGCTGACTCGGGTTCAACTGCAGAGGATGCGAGGGCCCCACATCGTACAGCTGGACACCCCGCTGTCCACATCGTAAGTGCTGACAGGAAGGTGGTGTGGGAAGGAGCGGAGGGGAAGGCCAGTGTGGAGTAGGAGGGGGCGTCCGAGTAGGAGGTTGGTGGGGAGGGGTCGGTATAGGAGGAGGGCAGTGCCAGAGCAAAGGCCATGGCGGGGAAGGGCCCTCAACTCCAGTTTTCACCCCACGTCTGCCTTTTCCTAACACCCACCTCCTTCCTTTTCAGAGAGGTGTGAGGAACATTCAGGACTTTGGACATTGCTCCCTGAGGAAATCCCCCAAGAGTGCTGGCCACCACCCCCACCCCGGGACTCCACCTCAAGGTCCACACTCCCCATGAAGCCTGGTTCAGGGTTCCCTGTGCTTCCTGCTCTGAAAACTCTGGGGATCAAAGCTGTGCATTTGTGTCCCAGAGACACCCAAGCCCCACATAAAGTTGTGCATAAAAATGACTGCCCGGTCAGCGCCAGGTGAGGGTGGGAAAAACCTGGGGCGTGAGTAGCAGAGTGAGCACAGGCCGCTCCTCTGGCAGGTGGCAGGACGGTGGTGGGGAATCTGGCCCAAGCTCAGGACTTTTCACAATCCCCCCTGCTGCTGATGGACCCAGGTCTCTGCCCCAGGCTCCCGCCCACCACGCAATGAGACCATTCCTTCCAGGAGCACAGCTTTAATCCTCCAGTTTTAGTGTATTTACAAAAGTCCACAGCTCCAGCTGGAGGCCCCATTGTTCTGTGCTTGTCCCTGCTTGGGACCGTTCAGCTTACTGTGCTTGCCCAGGCAGGGGAGAAAAGAGTGCCAAGTTTCTATTAGTACAATGTAAGTGATACAAAGATTGCTTATCTACTGTTAAAAAGGCTCAGGGGCCCCTAAAGCTCCTTGCTGGGTCCTCTAGGCCTAAAACAGGCAATGAACCATGGCATCCCTTATCCCTACAACCGCCAGCCAGCTTGGGCTCCTAGCACGCTCAGCCTCTCTCACTACCACACACACCACATCTATCCATATGTACATCCCTTCTCCCCCCATCTCTCTCTCATCTCTCACGCACACGCGCACACGCACAGCTGACCCTCAGGCAGTGCTCAGACAGCTGAGAAAGCTATGCACACTGAGGGAGTAGCACCAATAAGTGGCTGCCAGCTGGTGCCAGCCCCTCCAAGACCCTCTCTAGGAAAAAAAAAAAAAAGAGGTCCAGGGAGCATCTTGCGAGGTCCATCAGGACCCTGGGGCAGGAAACAGCTGTCATCAAGGCAGGCCCCTCCCAGGGGGCGTGTCCTCATCTGAGAAAGTAGGGCTCCGATGAGAGGGAGGTGGAGCCACGCAGAGCTTCCTCTATGTCCTCCAGGCAGCCGTGCAGGTCCATGTCACGGAGCACTCGGCCCAGCTGGTCCAGCATGGCCTCCCGTCTGGGCGTGCGCTGGCGCCAGGCCGCCAGCATGCTGTACTGCGCCTCGTGCACGTAGCGTCCATTCTGCAGCTCCAGCCGCTCGATCTCGTGCTCACTCAGCCCCAGCCGCCTCACGAACTCCTTCCAGCGGAATGGGGGCACGTTGTTCATCACAGCATACAGCATCACTGGGTCTGCTGCAGGGAAGCCTGTGGTGAGCCTGGGGCTGCGGCTCCCAGGCCCGCCCTGGCTGCGTTACCGGCTCACTCATGCGCCCTCTTGGAGCCCCGCCCGCCTGCACCCCCAACCGGGTTTCTTGGCTGGGTGCTCACCATCTGGGCGCTGCGTGTAGGTGCTGCCCTCCGGCTTTTGAAAGGGGGGGATGGTACTGGCTGGAGGTGCTTGGAGGAAAGAGCCAATTTCCTGGTAGGGTAGGGCCGTCTCTTTGGACAGTAATGAAGATGTGGATGTGGATGAGTCCTCAGGGGTGAGGGTGGAATTTGGTGGGGAGGTGGGGCTGAGGCCTGGGGCGGAGGCCAGGTGTTCCGGCACCCCCTGAAAGAGAGAAGGCAAAGCATTAGTGGGGGAAAGGAAAACAGCCCAGCCCTCTAGATTATTCTGGGTGGGGGTGGAACCAGAGAGAGTTAGGGGATCCCAATTTGGTTCTTACAAGATTACAATGGACAGTCAGGGAAGATCGGGGGAAGATCCCTGGTTTCACCTTACCTCTTTTGCAGATGAGTTTTTCCTATTGGGAAAAACTGAGGAGAAAGGAACAAAATATCATTAATTTCACTTCTTCTCTCGACCCTGAAGCCCATACTGGGCTTGTCCTGGGGACCTACGGTGACAGGCTTCAGGGCCTCCGTGCTCCCAGGGACAAGAGAACCACTGGTGCAGGATGATCCCTGGCCAGCCATCCAGGGCCGTCTCCTGCCAAGGAAGCCCTTCACAGCAAACTAAGGGGATGCTCATTTCCCTCCTCCCACATCCCACAGTACCCTTTTGCCTCCCAAATGCCCCACTCACAAATGGACTGGAGCTTGGCCTTCAAACGTGGAGAGCAGCATATTAAAGCCATGAAGAAGACGAATAAAAGGCAGACACCAAAGATGATCACCAGGGACAACAGCACTGTGGTGGCTGGAGACAAAGTACATTGTGATAGGAGGAGAAGGCTGGGTGGGGGGGGGGGGGGGCAGGGCTGGGTAGCTGTGTGCAGGGGCAAGCCTAGGGGAGGGCAGGTGAGGACGGGCACCGGGTTAATTCTCTTCACCTGGGTCCGGAGGTATCTGCATGATTTCACCAGTTATGGGGCACGAGTTCACACACTCCATGTTTTTCTCACAGCTAAAAGAAGAGAGAGCACAGGTGAATTGAGGCTGTACCATAGAAGGAATACAGGTTTAAAAGAAAAAAAAACATTGTTAGAAATTCTCTGCTTTACAATATTTTAGCTATCTCAATATATAGTGCAAATTAAAACTACCTTGGGAATTGATGCAAAGGAATGAAACACTTAATCACAAAATCACTTAATTTAGAATTGGAATTGACCTTGAAGAGGCTGTATAGAAAAATTAAAAGCAGGCCTGTGGTTTAATTTCCAGCCCAGTCACTGGCTAGCAGTGTGACTCTAAGCAAGTCAAGCAAGTCATTTAACCCTGTGTGCCTCAGCTTCCTTATCAGGAAAACAGGGGTCCTACCTACCTGTCAGGATCGAGGACTGAGTGAGAGAATTCTGCTTGACATAGAGTAAGTGCTCAACAAATGGTAGTTCTCACTGAACTGTTATTTTATCGTGGTTCTGCTAAAGAGCATTCTGGGACAAAGAGAGGCTGAAGAGCTTTTTTTCCCTGAGGTGGCACTGCTATTGACAATACCTGACTTTGAGAGAAGGGTCAAACGTGCATGTGAAAAGTTTAAAATGCATATTGCTGGGGGCAATATTACAAGCATGCCTTCCTGCACTGGAAGCTGTGGCTGGGCGGTGCTGGGCAGTGTGGAGTGAGAGGACCTACATGGGAGGCTCCAAGGGCCTTGAGAAGGTGAGTTCTCAGCCATAGTCGGAAACCAGAAAGGCACTTCCGCCCACCTTACAAGCTCATGATGAGAACAACACAGGATGGGTAGAAAAGCTCTTTCAAGAAGAGACAAAACTTAGCGAGAAAAGATAATAGTTTCTTGTCAGACACTTCGTAGTTATTTTTGGTGGCTCTTTAAAGGAAAAGATTTTATTTATTTTTAGAGAGAGGGGAAGGAAAGAAGAGGGGGAAAGAAACATCAGTGTGTGGTTGCCTCTCACATGCCCCCACAACTGGGGATGTGGCCGGCAACCTAGGTATGTGCCCTGACTGGGAATTAAACCAGCGACCCCTTGGCTCGCAGCTGGTGTTCAATCCACCGAGCCACACCAGCCAGGGCTATTTTTGGTGGCTCTTACGACTTCACCAAGTGGATGTCATTACCCTTTCTTTAAAGGTAAGAAAACTAAGGCTCAGAGATGTTAAGTCACATGCTCAAAGTTGCACAGCCTGTAAGTGGCTAGGCTGAGATTTAAACCCAGGTCAGTTCAATATCAGAGCCCTCAAGAGTTTCTACTTTGCAGGCAAGTATGCAAGTATGTACTGGCTTTCCAGTACAGCCTCTGGAAAGCCAGGAGGAAGGAGGCCTAGTCAAACACACTGGGAAGGAAATATCGCACTGTGTCAAACCTCAGATGCGATCAATAATAAGAGCCACCATTATTTGCATAACACACTCACACAGAGGTGCCAATTAAACCATGATACATCATCAACTGTTGTAAGACACAGTCTGACTGCAGAGATGTGACTCAATGGTAGACCCTGTTGCCTAAGAATTTCAATGTCAAAAAAAAGAAGAATGTCTAAGTTAGAACTACAAGTCCCTAGTGTGTGAGCCTCCATCCCAAAGTTGGGGGAAAGGAGGACTATCTGGTGTCTTGATATAAAGTGTCTCTCACTCAAACAGCTGGTAAGAGCCAGAGCACCCTGGGGTGCTCCCTTGTCCTGCTGGTGGCTCTCACCACAGCCACTCCATCCCACCCAATGTCCCCTGACCCACTGCCCAGCAGCTGGCAGAGATACTCACTAAGTACAGGATATGCACTTGTTGTCTTTTACAAAGAACCCTGCGTGGCAGGAGCATACGGTGTTCTGTTTTTCACTACCTGTGGGGAGAGGGGCAGTATAGCTAAAGGAGGACCAGAGGGAGAGCCAGGAGGGGCTGGGGTAGATGTCCAGAGTAGAGAGATTCCCACAGACTTCGGGAGTGGGAAGGATAGAAAGTGCTGCCTTTTGAGGCAGGCTGCAGAAAGGTGGAGACCCTCCCCCTGAGACAGGACCCACCCCTGTAGTGAGGACAGGGGTGGGGTCAGCGAGGTGTGCTCACAGGAGACTTGCACCGTGCCATTGAGGCAGAGGCTGCATTGCATGCACTGGAAAAGAGTGTCACTCCAATATTTCCGGTACTGTTCCTTCCTGCAGCCACACACGGTGTCCTGGTCCACTGTGCAAGAAGAAATCTCCACCTGGTCCATTTCTGGGAGGGGAAGAGACGGGGTATGAGCCTCTCTCTGTAGCACACGATCACACCCATGCGCTCCTTCACGAACGCCTTTCCGCAGCCAGGAGCACAGATTTGCATGCCCTCACAGGTGGATAGGCACACGCACCCCTCTCAATGCCCAACAGGCCCCACCCTGCGTACAGCCCTTGCCCTCTCCTGAGACTCACCTTTTCGGCATTTTGAGCAGCTGAGGCATTGCCTGAGGTGGTTCTCTGAAGCAGTATAGGTGCCATTTTCACACTCCCTGCAGTCTGTGTCCAGCCCTGGGCCTGGACAGTCATTGTACAGGTAGGTCCCTGTGATTGAGATGTCTGTATTAGGCTGCAGCGGAGAGCTCAAGGAAGGCGCCCCATGCTAGTGGAGAACAGCCTGGGCCAAGGTCTTAGGAGAAAAAAGGAGGAAGAAAATCCCAGCCCAAGAGAAGCAGCTAAGTTAGGAGACTCTGGGACAGAGACCCCAGGTTCTAGAACATCTGGAAAAAGCAAAGAAAGCAGCAGAGCCCCATAACTGAGATATGCTGCTGTTACCACTTGTTCCTACCTTTATGGCACTTCGTACAGCAAATGGAACTATTATGAGAGTGGGGGTATTTTCCCTGCGGACACTGGCTTTCTCTCTTCTCCCGGTCCCTGGAGTGAGGGACCAGCGCACTAACCCCTGAGGGGTTTATTTCTGCCACCAGAATCAGGAGCACCTAGGGAAGAACCCATAGAGGAGACCCCATCAGGATCTAAGCTCAGACAGTCGGCACCATGCAATCCAGTGTTGAATCGTTCTCTAGTCGCCCTGTGTCCCCCCAGCTCAAGGCTGGGAGACCCCGGCCCAGTTCTATTTTATCCTTATTTCCCCATAGCAGCTAATGGTGTTGGACTCAGGGCAGATGTTGAAGAACTGTTTGGTTGTTTTTTTTTTTATTGGGAATTGGTAGCTTACCTCAATTCTGGCCCTTCCCTCCCAAGAAGCAGTCCCAAACACTGAGGTGGCATTTCTCTGAGTGCTGCCTTCCCACCAAGTGAACGTGCACAGAGGCGAATAGTTGGCAACTGTGCACTTTTCTGTTTTAGGCTCTTCGAGTAAGAAGGTGCTTTTAAAATCAGACAGGACTGGAGGTAAGTGATGCCCCTATGGGCACCGTTCCTGGGCGGCGCACAGAAGTAAAAGGAAGAATTTCTGTGTAAGTCTGTATCAAAACCTCACTCAGGATCCCACCCTAGACTCCACGTTATATCCCCTTCCACCACTAAATCTGCACAAATACTACAGGTTGGCCAGGGCAAATGGAGAGGAAAGTGAAGGAAAGTTCATGGTCAAGGATAGGTAGGTGGATAATGATGTTTCAGTGGGGGCAAGAGAGGGCAAAGGCATGTAGATCACATGCAACTAGAGCTGGCCAGAGGCTGGTGATCCAGCTCAAGTGACCATCGAGTCAGCCAAGAGCTAAGGCTGTGCCAGGGAATCTAGAAGCTCTTTGCTCCCAAGTCCTTCTGGAAGGCATAATTTACAGCCTCAGGCCAAGCCCACAGCAGCTGAGTCACCTGCCTATTTCTGGCTTAGGTGCCTGGAGACACCTCAGCAAAGCCAGGAGCTAGTGTTGAGCTCCAACCCAGACTTTGCTTTGTTCAGCCTCTTGCTGGCTTTCTTTGGGCCTCATTTTTTTTTTCCTTCTCTGCTTGTAAGAGTGGCTTTATGTAAAGATAAGAGGATGTCCTCAAAGTATGTTAAACAATGCAGAGCAACACACTAATCAGATCACAGAAACCTCAGCCCAGGGCAGGAGGGCCTAGCAGCCCTCAGCCTCGGTGGCTCCGTATATCAACAGCCAGGTAAGCAGCTCACACGGAGTTGCCCCCTGGGAGATGTTGCAGCAACCCAGATGCCCAGGCCTCAGGCACAGAGGAAGCCACACTCAAAATCACAGCAGCCACCAAAGGGGCACACCCCCTACTCAGAGGGCAGCAAGCAGCGTTCCCTGGCCCACTCCCATACTGTGCCACCTCCCCTGAGAACAGGACTGGGGCTTCCAGGGCAACAGGAAGAGTGTGGGGTGGTTAATGGGAAGAACTTCCCGATCCTGAAAGAAGAGCTTTCCCCGAAGAAGAGCCTCACAGAACCTAAGGTCATGGGCACTTAGCATTCCATCCAGGGAGACTGGGAGCAAGGCCAAGGGGCAGAGACAGAGTCAGGAAGAACTGAGGGGCTCCAGTTCCTGGACAGTCTTGGGGGGTAGCTTTTTGGGGACCTCTGGCCTGTGAGGAAATAAACTTCCAAGGACGGCAGGAGGGAGGGAAGCTTTCTCAGGCCACGTGTCCCCACCTCTACAGCACTTTGGGGGTTAAATCAGGTCCGGGAAAGGGAAATCTTTTCCCAGAAGCTCCGCCCAGTGACTCAGGCCAGAGGGAGGGAGAGGATCTTGGGGAGGGCAGAGGGAACCAGCAGCTTCTCCAGCTCCTCAGGGGCCATGAGTCAGCATAAAGACTAAGAGACCAGCCAGCAGTAGGTCCCATCTGACCCTTTCCTCCTATGGGCCAGTCTCTCTCTCCAGTCCACCCTTAGAGCCCCCATTCCTCCCCTCCTTCACAAAAGAGCAAGGCAATGGACCCTTGTCCCACTGGGCCCCCACATTTCAGGAAATGGCTCCCTCTCCCATTCCATCCCAAAGGGAAGTCTCCCTCGACCCTTGGCTTCCTCCCAGTGAGTTACTTACTCACCCCTCCCTGAGGGCCACTTAATTCCTTCCCGCCCCTCAGCATCCTTCCTTTAGACGAGGCTCCATCCTGGTTCCTCCTCCCGGTCCAACCAGTCCCCTGCACAGAACCGGCATCCCTGGCTTCTCCCTTAGCCCCCTGACACTCCCCAGTTCCAGAAGGAAGCCAACCAAGGCTGCCCTCCTCCCACCCGGGTTCAGTGCATTCCCACAGCCTGGCTGGTTCTGGCCAGTGAGGTTGAATTTGGGGACCTCGCTGGGATCCCAGACAATTCTTAGGAAACAAGGCCAATTCTTTCTCCTCGGCCCCTCCCCAAACCCGCTAGCAGCACAGGAAAAGCTCCAGAGCCCCGAACACCCACTTCTAGGAGTGAGGGAAGGCCAGCCAATCAGCACTATGGCCCAGGTCTCTCCTGCTCCCCGCCCCCACAGCGGCACCATTTGTTAGTGCTCATTGGCTCCACTGAGCACTGTCCTTAGCAGCTGCATCTTTGCAGCAAAACAGCAGAAACAGGTGAGCTTGGAGCAGCCGGACCCCAGCCTGAGTGCCTGTCACCTGGAGCAGGAGAAGAGCAGGAAGCTGGGGGTGCCTGTGGAGAGACAGTTGAGTGGGTGGCCCGGCACCCCTCCAACTCCCCCACAACTTCCGCCTGAGGAGGCTTTAAAGTGTGACTTCCTGCACCGGGGCTGTAGCCTGGGGTGGAAAGCGACCCTGTGGTCTACCCTGACCCAGCCCCCTCATACAGCAGCTGTTCCCTTAACCCTGTAAGAAGTTGTCCACTAAATTAAAATGTTCATTTAGTATCAAATATCTCTGGAGAGCTCGTGATAGTGTCTCCAAAGGCCCAGTTGCAATCCCACCTCCCTGCCCTGAGGCCCTCCATTGATGCCGCTTCCCCTACCCAAGCTCCTTAGATGCTCAGCCCCCTGGGAACTTTAATAAGATGAATTAACTATATGTATTCTTGGCTCCTATCATAATTATCTTGGGTGAGTAGATAGGATCTCCCCAATAGACCATAAACTCTCTAAGAGATCAGAAAGAGTATCTTGGTCAGAGATAGTGTCCTATCTTCCTCGGGATCTCAGCCCCCAGAACTGGGGGAGCAAAAGGAACATGGCTGATCCAGTGGCTGATCCGTCTTCCACTCCAGGTGAAGCCAGTGATTTCCAAAGAGGGAAGTAGGGAGTCAGTGTTTCTCCAACCCGCTTAGGAACATACAGGATCCGGCAGAAGTAAGGCCTACTTGAGTGTGGTTGATAGGGTAATAATATGGGCGTAATTTATAGTTTTAATTTGAACATTTCACCCAAAACGGCATATGGTGTGCTTGAGTGTGATATTGTTATGATACCCAATTACATGCTTATGATTTTGTGATAAAAAGGGGTGTTACTTGTGCCGGACCCTGAATCTCCAGGGGAGATTCTCAAGGTGCCCCACTCCGACCCACACACACGCACGCCCTCACTGGAGATTGTGATAAGTGTTCCTTTCCTCTCCCTTTCAGAGTCACGGGTGAGTAAACAGCAGCAGAAGGCCGATAAGAGTTTTCGCACCTCCGCTCTTCCCTGTTAAGGCACATACTTCACCTGGCTATTCCTCGGACCTTTAACAAACCCCAAGTTAAACTCATCAGATATCTCCTGGCCTACAGAAGCGTCACACCACCAGCTTCTCGTCACCAGTGCTGAGACCTCTGCCACTTTTCTCTGCTCAGGGCCCTCCCCACCTCTGCCGTCATTCCTCTTGCCAGTCCCTCCTCTGTGACCAATCTCCCAGTTCTTTCCATGTCCATGGTTGCCTCACACCTGAATTATTACGACGGTCTCCGGCCAACTGCCAGGCCCCTTTCCTGCTCCAACCCATCCTACAGACTTTCTTGTCCGCATTCATGCTTCAACTTGCACCCGCGTATGTGAAAATCTTCCTCCCAGGACATCGTTTCCACAGGTCGCTGTTATCCTGAATGAGCGCTCGCAGAGGTACCTCACTGCTGTTCTGAACACATTCCTGGACACAGTGGGCCCTCAGAGAACCCTTTCAGAATGAATGAATGAATGAATGAGTTCCTCCACCTGGAACCACAGTTCAAGATTCTCTCTTCATCCCCTCCCATGCTCCTTCCAACTCTCTCATTCTCATTCCCTGTTCCTCAGTGCGGCCTTCCCGCACCAGCCAAGGCGTTCAGTTCCCTGCCGCCACCACCTGCAATACGAAACCCCCTCTCTTCCTTCCTCTAATTTTCCTCAACCAGTCTCCCATTTTTCTAGCCACCCTGCCAGTCGGTGACTTCAACTCTCAGCTCCAAATCCACTTTTCAGTGAGACCTTCCCTCCATCATCCCATCAGACCAATCTTTAGTTCCTTTATTCATTCAAGAAATAGTTAAGGAGCAAGCAATCTATGTGCCAGGTCCCGCCAGGTGGCCAGGGAGGCAGAGATGGAATGGACCACTCATGCTCTCACGAGTTCTCCGTGGGTCGCAGTCCACCGTAGGCTCTGCGATTTGTGCAGGGTGTGCTCCGGAGCCTGGACACTAGCATTGACATCTACTGAGCAAGAAAAGGCAGCTGGATGAAGCTCCTTCCCCTCCCGGTTCTGGCTCCCTTTGGTGTTCGGGGCACCACATCACAATACTTTTGTGAAGATTTTCCTCCAGACTGTTCTGAAATCATTTTTGCTGAAAGCTGTCTTAGCTTCTAGACTGGAAGCTCTTTGAGAGTCGCAAAGTCTTACTTGTTTTGTCACACTCTCTCCTGTATTCTTCCCCACTATCCCCCTACACACACATACACAGTGTGCTCTGAATTGCCCACTGAATGGTGAGCAATTGGTAAGTTCATGGGCAGCCTTATCTAGACCTTGCATACCTTCTGCTTTTCTTCTAGCACCAGGCTGAGCTTGCGTCTTTTAACAGTCTTACCCTCACCTAGGCTGGGTAAGCCCCGGCCTTCAAGGCAATTGTCTGTTTGGACTACTGTACCCTGTTTTCCAAACACTGTAGCGACCAAGTAATTACTACTAATACTACTAACACTAGCAATATGCAAGCTAACATTTATTGAGGGCTTTCTATTTGCTATACCCTAGTCCTCTACCAGAATGTAGACTCCATGAGGACAGTGATTTTGTATATTACTGTAATCCCAGCACCTAAAACAGTGTCTAGCATAATGCAAGCACTTAACAAATTAAATACTTACTACATATCAATCTATTTAACCTTAAAAACAACATCATGAGGTAGTGACTGTTATGTTCATTTTAGAGATAAAGGAACTATGTGTGGAAAGGTTACATAACCTGCTCAAGTTCAGGCATCCAGGATGTGAGGGAGCCAGACCTGAATCTAATCCAAGTATCAACTCTCAAAGAGAGAAATAAGATAGCAGGGCAGGTGGCTTGCAGGGGGGGGGGGGGGCAAGGAGCAGGGGGCGGGGGGGGGGTAGGGGGGAATAAGGGGAGGGCTGGGCTGGGCGGGCAGCCTTGAAAGAAGAGATGGGCCGGGGAGTCAGGAGGTGGGACAACCAGAAAATTAGTGAGACCAGGATAGAGAGAGGTAGCACAGGGAACTAAGGGCTAGAAATGTGGAGAAGAGAGGGAGAGGGAGGGAGGAAACTAGGGAGAAAGGGCTTCAAAACCCTTTGAGAAGTCTGAGGAGACTTTCTGGGAGACTGACAGAAAAGCAAGGAATGATTGGGAGTGAAAGCATAACACCCTGAGTAAGGAGAGGTGGGGAGCCACGGGTGGGGCCGCGGACTCAGAAGAAATTTGCGAGCGGGGAGGGGGGTGGGTGGCAAGGGGGCTCTCAGGGCATCAGACAGGATGACTCCAGGACACGGAGGGTGATTGTGGATGCCGTGACATAAGGCTAAAGCAAAAGAAAGGGACATTTTCCAGTGACGAAAGCAATTTTCTTCCAACTTCCTCAAACTCACTATAGAAGAAGAAACCAAGGAATTGTTGTCTAGGTCTGTGAGGAGGGGCTGGAGGGCAGGCCGAGAGACAGTGTCCAGGTGGAGGAGGTGCTAGCTACCTAGAGAGGGTCAGCCCAACAGAGACAAACTGCCTGGAAACTGAGGCAGAGGTTGAAGAATGCTCCCATTAATACTTGACTTATTGTACAAATATAAATGTGGCATCTCAAAAACAAAGAAAGCCCCCAAGGGGAGGCCTGGGCCTGGGGAGAGCACGGCAGGGACAGGGCTGCCCTGCCCCTATCCCGGTCCCCACTCCATTCCCAAACAGCTCCCACCACATGGCCTCCCAAACTTACTCTGCCAACCTGTCTCTCCTCCCAGACTCCATTTCTCCACTTCGTTACTGTCCAACTCCTGCCCCCTAGCAGGGTTTGCTCAGCCAGGGCCCAGTGGCAGCCCCACCTCTCCACGACCCGACACACTCTGAGGCCAGCCAGCTGACCAGAGGGACGATGTTCTGAATCATCTGGAATCTGAGAGGATCGACCTCCTTCTCCCACTCCTTTCCTTTCCCTAGCAAATCGGCGTGCCCTCCACCCCCACGGTCCTGCCACCGCTGCTATCAGCCGCCCTTACGTTTTCAGACAGGCCCCAGCCCCAACAAACTTCCTCGGCTGTCAGGGGCCAGAGCTGCTTTTAACCCCCACCTTTCAAACTTCTCCCTTGCCCCCGAGTCAGGGCAAGCAGATGAATAGGGAAACCTGGGCTTCTGACAGAGTTTGAAGTCAGACCACAACCCTCTCCCAGCAAGGGCCCGGTCCAGCCTGCCGGACTGGGGCGTCACCCTTCACCCACTTTCCACTCCACCCTTTGTCCCTGGTCTCACCAGTGGCAGCAGCAGGCCAGGCACGGTGGGGTGGCCCATGTCCGGCCAGCGGAGGCCTCTCACTCCCCCATCAGGGCTCAGGCAGAGGCGGCAGGTGGGGTGGCAGCGACAGAGTCCGGGAGGAGTGGGTCGGGAGGTCCCAAGGGGAGCTCAGGCCTTGGGCAGGGGACTTAAGGGTTGAGACTTAGATAAAGACCACATTGTGGTCCCATGTGGTCTCAAACCCCAAAGGCCAGAACCGGGGCCTGAGCCCGGCAGAGAAAATTAAAGAGGAGGTGGGAGGGGAAGGGAGTAAGGCAGTTGGGTGTTGCAACGGCAAGACAGGAAGAGCTTGGGGGAGGAGGCAGGAGGAGGCGGGAAGAGGCGGGAGGACAGGGCAATTTTTCTTTAACTCTTTGTAGTGCAGTCATCGGTGCTGGAGACCTGGATCCAACAACCTGGCCATGTCCAGCCAAACACCGATGTGCAGTGAGCCCCCTCCCTCCTCACCCCCATCCACGGGATTTTCCCAACTAAACAGCAATAGAAGGACCCAGGGGCCCTGTCTTGGTATCTCCGTTGGTTAGAGCATCATCCAATACCATGCGCCAAGGCTGTGGTTGCGGTTGGTCAGGGTACATACAAGTATTGATATCAACCAACAAATGCATAAATAAGTGGAACGACAAATCAGTATCTAGAAAAACCCAGGACTTTGGCACAAAATTCACTGGGTTCCAGTTCAGAAGCCTCTACTTTTCAGCTGGGTGGTCTTGGGCAAGCAACCTAAACTCTCAGAGCCTGCTTTCCATCTTGCAAAATGGTGGGAACTTATCTCATGTGGTTGCTGCAATCGAAACAGGACGGATAAGTGATGCACGACAAGTACTAGGTGTTCCTTAGTAACTCTCCCCCTTTCCCCAAGTCCTCCACTGACACCCTAATCTCCCACTTTCTCGGGAACTTACCCCTCCAACCCAAACCTCAGAATAAATCTGAACCCTAATTTTCTGCCCAGGCTTGGGGCCCTCACATGCCCCATCCCCCAATCTGGTTCTTATCCAGTCTGTGCTTGGCTGGGTCCCACAGTTGCTCATCCCAGCCCTGCCACCAACAACGGTGGCATCCCAGGCAGAATCTCCACTGGGTCTTGGCTCCTCATTATCAAACCAGAGGAACAATGGCACCAATATGGGGAAGGGAGGTCATGAGGATTAACAAGGGCCTATCTGTGAAAATGCTTTGGGAATCACAGACATCACGTCAGATATTACTAGTGTGTTCCCAGCACCCTTTCCCCCACTGCTACTCCGTATTTCAACCCCAACTGACCTTAGAGATAATCTACTGCGCCCCTCTTGTTTTACAGCTGAGAAAACTGAGGGCCAGAGACATGCAGAGCATGTTCCTTGCAGACCCCGCAGAAACCTGATTCCCAACTTCAATCCAGGGGCCCGTTTTGCTACAACAGACACGCTGCCTCACTCCCTGACTCTGGGCATTCTATGCCACTCCCAGATGAATGACACAGCAAGGGCCAAGTGTTCATTCAAATGTCCTCTGGGCACTATGACCTTCCCTATACCCAGCCCCGGCCTGAGGTCCTCCAGCTGCTGACTGCCCGCCCCACCCCTACCCGAGTCCACCTGCCTGCCTCTTGCTCACCTCCCCTCTCTCATCCTAAGGGCAAAGCATCTATAGATGAGAATGGAGCTTGGCTGTTCCCACCTAGGGCTGACTACTCCACTCCATCCTCCAGCTTCTGAAGAACTGGACATTGAAGCCGGACTCACAGAGGAGCTCACCTCTACCAACGCACAGGGAGCTTCCAAGTACAGTCCAGTGGACCCAAAGCAGGGCCCTTGAAGAATCAGAGTCACTGGAATAAAGTGCAAGAGTCAGAATGCCCAGTTCCTAGTGTGAAGGGGCAAGGAGGGCTCCTGGCTCCTCATCCACAAACCGGGAATCACGCCCGCACCCTCACATCATACGCCCTGAGGGGTCAAATGCATGGAAAGCGTTCAGCAAAGGTTTGCCATATATTAAGCATTCGATATATGGTAGCAATATTAATCATTTGTATTAATAACAACAACATCAATGTCCTGTTTTTAATGTTACAAGAAATTTTTAATAGTCTGTACCAACCGTGTAAGCCATTACACATAGCCTGATCCACAAAGAGAATCTCATCATTCATGTTAAGTGCTTAATTAATCAGTAAGTTTAAACTTTTGCAAAATGTGGTATTAAATTATTTGATGAAACTGTGTTTTTAAAAGATGGTGAGAGGTAGGCAGATCTAGGAATATGAAAAGCTGACTAGTTTCACGGAGAAATTTCTTCCAGGGGGAAAAGAAAGAATGGGTGAGGGAGAGACTGGGACAGACGGGGAAACAGGAGAGGGGCAAACTAGGGCGAAGAATTGGCCATCGGGGTCTGTGGAGCAAAAGGTGGAGAGAAAGGGGCTTCAGCTAGCAGAGTCCCCTGTCCCCCAGTACACCCCCCCTTCTCTCTCTCTCTCATACACACGCACACTCCCCACAGCAGCGCAGAGTGATGAGCAAAAGGGCACTGGACTGCAAGTGAGGGCGACGTGACTGCAATTCCAGCCCTGCCATCCTGACTCCGTGAGTCACAGAAGGAGACCCAGGTTCCAGCTTGGTTCTGCAAGAATTATGCACTTGAATGAGTCACTTCACCTGCTAACATCAATAAGGAAAAGACGGCAACTGTTTCTTCTCTAATACTCTGATTCTAACTCCTAACCTGAAGGTCCAAAGGTAACATAGAGAGATAGGGGATGGAGAGAAGGAAACCCCACAGGGTGGAAATGCAGCAGACCAGAGAGCTCCAGGCAGGGGAGGCGCGGGGAGCTGATTGCTGTCCAGCAGGTCCTCCTGCCCACCCCAGCCGGAGGACAGGGAGCTGGGGGCCAGCGGGGCAAGGCTGAGGCTATGGCAGGGAGCACCCAGGGCAGACTTAACCCGAGGGCTCGGACGGGAGGGGCTGTTGTAACACCACCATTTTCCCCTCATCAGCTTGAGTCTAGGAAAGGGAAGTCAGAAAACACCACGTCAGTTCCCGCTCACAACCCTTCCTACATCTCTACTCTGTCCATCCTCCCCTCCTAGGTCCCCAAGTTCCTTGGCTCCTCAGGACAGAGGGACTGTAATTGAGGGGAGTCAGACCATGGCAGCAAGGGCACTATCCCCAAAGATGACAAGAAAGGGTAACTTCTAGGTGCCAGGTCTGAAGTTGGGGAAGGAACCAGGGGTCCAGAAACACCCCTTGATTTCTCCTCTGTGAAAAGCTGTCAGAAGCCTTGGCTGGTGTGGCTCAGTGAACTGAGTGCTGGCCTGTGAACCAACACATTGCAGGTTCAATCCCAAGTGAGGCCACATACCTGAGTTGTGGGCCAGGTCCCCAGTTGGGGGTGTGTGAGAGGCAACTGATCAATGTACCTCTCACACATCAATGTTTCTCTCCCTCTCTTTCTCCTGCCCTTTCCCTCTCTCTAAAAATAAGTAAATAATTTTTTTTACAAGAATAAAAGCTGGGAGGATTCCCACTGCTGCTCTCTCCATGGAGATGCCAGATACAAGGCTTTGAGGGCCAGAAACATGTGGCCTGGGTTTCATCCCCTCCACCACCACCAGGCAGCTGACGAGGAGGTGGGCAGATGAGGAGGCTCTGTAGCAGCTGGGTGGTGAGTCTCGGGTGCTCAGCGAATGGAGTGGAGACTGATGATAAGTGAAGTTGGGAAGGAAAAGGAAGTTTGGACAAGGAACGGGGTAGGGGGCAAGTCATCCTGAGCACCACCTAGTCGGTCTCCCGAGGGGAGCACCCGTGTCCGCGCCCTGCCACCCTGACATGGTCACAGACGCACAGCAGATGCTCAGCACCATGTCCACGGAGGAACTAGCAGGACAGTCTGTCTCTCCTAAGGTCCCTGAAGAATGGTCCTTTCCATGGTGAAGCCGAGGGGTACAGGAGTCTGTCCCCCCCACCCCCACCCCAGGCCCTCCTGGGGGCTTGAACCAAGACCCAGGTGCTCATGCCCACTTCCTACCCTCTTCAGGACACCCCATCCAGATCTCCAGGCATGCTTTATGCAACAAATATTTATTGAGTGCCTGCCTGTTTGCTCCAAGTGGGACACTGCGCTAGACCCTGAGGTTACACAGATGAACAACAGTCCCTGACCACAAGGAGCTCACAGTCTAGCCGGGGAGGCAGACACAAATGAGCGAGAAAGTAAAATGCAAATCAGCACTCCAACAGATGCCGTGGTGTGCCGTGGGAGTCCAGGCAAGAGGGGAGTGATGGATTCTGGGGAAGACAAGATGGGGCAGAGGCCTTCGTAGAAGTGGTGGTGTCTGAGTAGGGTTCTAAGGGATGCATAGGAGTTCTCCAGTCAGTGGCGGGGAAAGCTTACAGATTTATGAAACAGTCTGAGCCAACCAGCAGAGGTATGAAGGACACAGGGCTCTGTGGGGCGTAATGTCGACAAGGCTGGAAGAGTCCCGAGGCCATCTGGGAATGGTCTGCCTTTTCTACACTGGCCTGCTCCAGCCCCTGCTCTGGGGAGTCAGGGAAGGGGAATTGCCCAAGAACTAACTAAGGGGGCTTTTGAGTGGGCTTCCCCACCCAAGTTCAAGAAGAGAAGCAAGCGTCTGTGTCACTGGACAGCCGTGTGGCCCGGCCAGTCAGGGGCTGGCTTCAGCCGTCTCTGGGCAGGAAGCCTGGGCACGGCTTCGTGTGCTCTTATTTGTGTGTTTTCCGGTTGTCAGTTGTTTCCTAGGGAAGTTCTTTGTCAAAGCTCCAAGTCAGACTTGGCTGATCCAAGGGAAAAGGAGATTTATCTGCATTTGGGTAAGGAAACCAGAGCGTTCCAGAGGCAGTACCGGGGGTACCGGGCAGGAGCCAAGGCAATTCTAGCCAACTTCCTTGGCCCCCGTCCCCAGCCATTTCTGTAGCCCCTAATCGTTCCTGCTTCCCTCCCCCACAAAGGCAGTTGGGCAGCTCTGAGAGCAAGCCCCACACATTCTTTAATCCTGCCAAGGCTAGTCCCCGCCCACCAAGGGAAGCTGCCTTGGGGGCTGCCACTGGCCTTCCCTCTCAGGGCTCCTCCAGAGTGAAGGCAGAGTTGCTGGCCCCTGCCAAACTGGGTGGGGCTGGGCAGGGGCCCAGGGAGGCGTAGGCAGGAGGAGGGGCAGTCAGGGTTCCAGAGGCATCAGAGCTTGGCAGGGATGAGCCGGGGGAGCAAGGATGGGGGCAAAAACGGGAAGGGAGGGAGGAAGCTGGAGTGGTGGCCACCTCCTGGGCACCTCTGCCCCCTCGGCCTGGAG